AATCAATCAATCAACTAATCAGTCAAATTTTTTATTTAAAAATGAATTCTTATCCTATTAAAACCAATGCAACATCTTTTTTTGCATCATTTTAACTATATAGATGACTTTACAGAGCTCAATACTTATTCGAACTATTGTGTGCAAATATAAACACATGAAGTACTTGATTCTCATTTAGCAAACGGTTTAATCAAAGAGTTCATGAAATTTGACCATGAACATATTGACATTTTGTCAATTTCAACAAATATTTCTCTCATTTTGTCATATTTTGCGATTTTCTGTTTTGGTAGAATATAGAAATTAATTTCAGTGTAAAGATGCAAAATGTAACAAAATATTTTCAAATGCAAGTGCAATCAGTCAGTGAAGTTAAGATCAACTGTATTCAACCATGTTATAACATATCTAGTGATCTTAACAATTGTTAATCAGTTCAGATTGTCTGCATGTGAGATGAAGCCGCTCTGCAATCTTAAAGCATACCATATAACTGCAGTTCCTTGATGAGAACGGTTCTCTTGACATCATTGAAGACCTTGCGGATGTTGTCGGTGTCGGTGGCACAGGTGAAGTGTTTGTAAATGCACTTCCGTACTCGATTTTCACGGTTTAAAGCTTGTTCGAGGTACAGGGCACTGATGTAGTCCATCGCGTCATTCTCATCTCGCTTTTTGCCTGGCATCATAATAGGGTGGAGTTGGAAAACATTTGGATAAAAAAAGACGAACAAAAAAGGAAATAGAAAATGTAACCAAAACAAAGTATAGAAAAGGAGGGGAAAAAAGAACAAAAGATTTTAAATTTCACCTCAGAAAACAGAAAACCAGTTCATCAATGCTAAAATTAAAGGCACTTTCCATGTATAGGGTACACTTTGGTTTTTTAAAAGCATTAGAGGCAAAAATACCATTTTAAAGACCTATTAGATGTGTTACTTATAAACTATTTTTATATAACATAACAATTTGTATATAACATATAACAGCACTTTCTATAGCAGGCCTACAGCATGCAAAGTAAATGATCTCATTACATTTTCTCAATTTTTATACAAATTGTAGTGTTAACTGAATCCATAAAACTCAAACTTCAACCCTGTTACCCTGTTTATTGTGAAAAGAAAATAATCAAGCAAACTGTTTTTTTTTTGTTTAGATTTGAGGGAAATCTAAAATAAAAAATTGTATTTATATTCTATTTAGAAAGAATTTAATGGTAACAGGGTTGCCCAATTTTGTTGACCGTTGCAACACTTGCAAATCACATAAATAGAATGCAAAATCTAAATGAACAGAAAATAAACAAAATGAATACAAAATTTAATTGTTTACCTTCGGAGGTTTACAATCAATATTGTTTTTTAAAGATAAACCACCCCTTTTCATCAACCATTTGTTGAGAAAAATAGAAAACAACTTGTATTTGTATTTTTGTACTTTATTCATGTAATGCAATATATAAATATAAACTTGCAATTCTAAGAAAAAAACTGACTTTATTCTGACTTTATTTCTCACAATTCTGAGTTTACATCTCGCAAATCTTTTTATTTAATTTTTTTTATTTCCACCACGGAATAAAAAAAAAATTCATTGTGTTTTTATCTCACAATTCGTACTTTTTTTTTGGTAACACTTTATTTTAAGGTGTCCTTGTTACACGTTACACTTGCTATTATAATAACAATAAATTATGCATAATTACGCACAAGTAACCCTAAGCCAAACCCTAATCCTAACCCTAACCATATAGTAAGTACATGTAGTATGGCATTAGTATTACTCAATACTTAAATGTACAATTACACTGTAACAAGGACGCCTTAAAATAAAGTGTAACCGTTTAGCAGTTGCGACTTCTCACAATTTTCGAGTTTATATTGTACAATTTCAGACTTTATTTCTCAGAATTGTAAGTTTATTTCTCACGATACAGTCAGAATTGTGAGATAGCAGGTTATATTTTTTTATGCTTATTTATTATTCATTAGGTTTTATTTATTCTGTGGCAGAAACAGGCTTCCATATTACTTTTTAGTCCTATTTGAAAAGAAACTCTCCACCCTCTTGCTCCAAGTAATCAGTAAAGTCAAATATTTGTACTGTTCTCCAGTACAGATCAGCCAAACGTTGCTTTCTATTTCTCAGTTCATTCTTGCCAGCAGCTATAGTGTAAAATTCCTGCCACCCCCACGAAACCAAAAACACGCTGAAAATCTGCCTGTAGTGTGGCGTTCCTGTGACAGCCACAGCTTCCTCATTCCTTCGGAGTGATGTCTCTTTAAGTAGGTGACTTGCAATGATCTAGTTTGAAGAAAGTGTGTCATATCGTAAGAATCTGATGTTTTAATCCACCAAAATGACAAAAAAGTAGGAATACAGGAATAGATGGAGCAAAAGACAAAGAAAAGGAAGGCTGCATAGAGGTGGCACAAGGAAAAACAAATCAAGCCATCAATTGTGTGTCCCTCCAAGCTCAGTTTATTAGGTTGGCAGAAGCACTATGTATCCGTCAGAGCACTCCGTATTCCTGCAGAGACTTGATAAGGACAGTGTCTTTCACGTCATTGAAAACCTTCCGGATGTTATTGGTGTCCGTGGCGCAGGTGAAGTGAGGGTAGATGTTTTTGCACTCCTTTGTCTCAGCACTCACGGCCCTCTGTTTATACATATTGCGAATGAAGTCCATGGCATCTTGCGCGTCCCGCCGTTTGCCTGAAGGTGGCACCAAACCACAGAGGAGGGGAGGAGTTAGTGCAAGCTTGGAAGGTAAGAGCGATTGAACTGGGAGGAGCACATGCAAATTATAGAGGCGGGACCAATAAAGTAAGCCGAGAGAAAGAATCTAAGCAAACATTTTTAAAATCACTTAAGAATTAATATTTAACCCTTTTAGAGCTCAAAGTTCGTAGCTGTTTCATTGGGTTGATGTTGTATTAAAGGGACAGATCACTCAGAAATGACCGTCATCTTCTACTGGCCCTGTCTGACTGAATTTCTTTTGTAAAACACAAATGGAGATATTTAGCAGAATGTTCACGCAACTCTTTTCCAAACAAGGCTGGGTTGATTTAATCAAAAAATAGCTTGATTATTTCTGCATTTATTTGTTCGGTAGAAATGATTGCAGGTTAAAATAGCAGCCATTATTCGGGTCTTCAGTGTCACATGATCCTTCAGAAATTATTCTAATATACTGATTATGCCGAGTAAGAAACGTTTCTTATTATCATCGATGTTGAACACGGTTGTGCTGCTTGATATTTTTGTGGAAAGTGTGATACATTTTCATCAGGATCCTTCGATGAACGCAACGGCATTTTGTGAAATCGGAATCTTTTGTAACATTTATAATGTAAACAATTGAATGCATCCTAGCTGAATAGAAGTATTGCTTTCTTCATTTTATTTATTTATTTTTTAATCATACTGATACTTTTGAATGGTAACGCTGAAAATTTTGCTTTGCCATCACCAGAATATAATTCAATAATTTATACAATATAATTAAATATTAATATAATAAATTTGTTAATATTTATTAATATCTTGAATGAGCTTTTATACATTGATAATAAGAACCATTAATAATAACTGAGCACCAAAAATACTGATAATGATTAAGCAGCAAATCAGAACATTAGAATGATTGCTGAAGGATCATGTGACACTGAAGATTGGACTAATGATGCTGAAAATTCAGCTTTGCATCACAGGAATAAATTACATTTTATATTATAAAACAGATAGTTCCGGTGCTTGATTCTGATTGGCTGAGCCGCGTTCGGAACTGTTGTAAATTACTCTACAAACATACACCTTTGTTTACTTCTGTGTGTTGCTCGGCAACCCCTTTGTTGGAACCACAACTGTTTCTGAGGAACTACATTGTTTGGTGGAAGAATACTGTTTTTATTAATATCATTACACAATACTGTTTTTATTAATATACTTTAGGCACTCTGCTTCACATCGTTCCTAACAACGCCCCTTAGCTGTTATAAATTCACTGTAAACCACGGCTTCGTGGGGCTTATTGCTATAATAATATATCACAATAGAATTTGTCTTTTTAGGCGTACTGTCTCTTTAAATGTAACCATAACAGGCTGTCTATCTTTAAATCTCAAAGATGGAGCTACTCCTATCAGAGAGTAAATGCACGGTAAACACCTTTAAATGCACAGAATTGGCTATTTTTTGGATGCCGTTGGTAAAAAAAAAAAAATTAATTGTGATTAATCCCATCTAATATTTAAGTTTTTAAATATACTTTTATATTGCAATAATTTCACATTCCATCTTCAAATTAATGTAGAAACAACATAAAGACAGTATATTTTTAATATTTGTTTAGTGGCATCTTTTTTATAACTGAAGGTGAGTATCACTGATACCAATACCAATATGTCTCTATAAAAAAAAAATTTCCCCCCTAATATTTAACCATTGACTATAGCCCTTCAACATTATAGTAAAAATATTTCAGATTTAAAAAATAACTTGTGAACTTAAAACAATCTTCACATAAACCCATTATAATATACGTCATATTTACCTGTGCCTTTCAGCAAGTAGTAAAATATACAGAAATTGAATTAAGTTATTAAACACTAAATTCTAAATTAAATATAGATTAATCCTTAAAGCTACAAACGTTATTGATTTCCTCTTTTTTTCTTTTGTTCCTTGATTAACAGACATCACAGCAGCCGGGTTATTAGCTTATTTAGCTGCTATAAATATATAATAATATAAATAAATACATATTTTTTGTATATTATTTATTTTTAGTAAATAAGTTATACTTTATATTAGTACTTTATTTTATTTTTCATTTTAGTTAGTAATTAGTTTTCGTTAGCTAATGAATTACATAGTCACAACAAGTTATTGATTTTAAAAACAGGCTTTATATCTTTGTGCAAATTAGAAGTGTGCACATTTCTTTTTGTCTTTGAGTTGCAGTGAAATATGTCTCAGTACTGATCCAAGTCCAGACCCAAATATACTGATCAAAGCAATCGACTAGGACAAGAAAGATTCAGACAGACTGGGGCGAAGGAGACGCTCACCTCCTTGTTATTCTCCTCCAGCACCTGGTCGTACTCGCTGAGTGAGGCTAAAAATATGAGCGAGGTCACATTCTCAAAGCAATGGATCCATTTCCGCCTCTCTGACTTCTGGCCACCCACATCCACAATCCTTCAGAAAAAAAAAGTGGTAAGACCGAGATTAAATTCTGTTGTTTATTCTCGAAACTTCCTGTTTAAACCAAAAACATTAAACACTAACCGTCAACCCCTATCATTTGTTCCTACTTCCTTGCTGTCATATATCAAACATGTCTACCTCAAAATCAGGCCCGGATTGGCTAATCGGGAGCACCGGGAAAATTCCCGGTGGGCCGGTCTGTTTTTTGGCCGCGAGGGCCGGTACTGTCATGCCACAGCTATGGGGTTGAAATATGGATGCCCGTATTTAAGGCATCAAAGAAGCGTCCCATATGAATGGTATAACACAGTTTGTCCCGTATTCACAGGCATACGCCATATGACCACCAGACCATATGAATAACAAATTCTCAATTGATAATTAATCATTATTTTTGCGCAAAATATTGTTTTATTTGTGAACGTAGCCGGTTGTTGAAGGCTTTAAGACCAAGCAGAATCCTCTGCCGGCTGCTCCTGTTTCACAGCGAGCAGGACTCGTGCTTACGTCCGTGATTTGATTTTGGCAAATCAGTTCGGGCGAATGCAATTTATTGATCATGAGCCCAAAATTTTGCAAGGCAGGAAAACATGTAATCTACCTGAGGGGAGACATCTTTCACTATTGTAAGTTAAAGCTGTTAAATAGAGAGGACAATACATTTGAAATTTTTTTACTTCTAGCGCATTCTTAAACTTGGACCTCATTTTACAGAAGTAGAAATCCAAGCACCAGAAGCAGCCCACAAGTTTTCTTTAATTGAAAAATATGCATTTTCATTCATTCATAGGCTATATGGTTGCAATAATAGCCATTTTATTTCAAAAAATGTAAGTGCATAGACGTTTCATAGACATACAGTTGTTATGCTTTCAAATTTCTTGCCATTTGTATGCAGAGCCGATCCTCCCTATACGCAAAATACGCAAGCTGCGTAGGGCCCCCTTGCTCTCAAAGACGATTTAATTTTAGTTTCGTTTTTGACCATGTTTTTTTTGGTCAATGGCGCAGTCTACTTCAGTTGCCTCAAAATAGCAACGCGCCAGCAATGCGCCTGAACACACCTCTTTTTCAGACCAGCACGCCCATGAGCGCACAAATGCATTTCCTATTTAAACAACGTGGCGCAGGACATGAAAATTACAACTGCGTCTGGCTGAAACTAGCAAAAAACACCGCATTGCGCCGGGTGTATAATAGGGCCCACTGTTTCTCAAGCACTTTCCGCTTTCCCCATCCCCCATCCCCCCAAACACTGTTTTGCGTAGGGTCCCCAGAAATCTAGAGTAGCGTTTGTTTTGGCAAGTCAAATTAGTCAAGTTCGCATCAGCTGACTCTCAGCTGATCCCCATCAACCTATGGGAATACAACACCTATCAAAGCATTCATATATAAGGTCCCTCAGTATTATCAGCAGTTTTCGCATTACTCAATAGCTAATTACCCTCCTCCATCCCCAACTCCTCCTCTGTCAGTCAGGATTCAGCCTTCTGATTCTCCTTTGAATCAGACTAAGGGTGCTTTCACACCTGGCCTGTTGTTTCGGAACCTGGCGCGCTTCCCCCCTTAGCTCGGTTCGTTTGGGCATATGTGAACACGGCAATCGCTCCCGGATCCGCGCCAAAACAATCGGTCCGAGATCGCCTGAACGAGGTGGTCTCGGCTCGATTGAAAACGAACTCTGAAGCGGTTCGGTTGTAGTGAGAAAGCAATCCGATCCAACGGACCAACGAACCAGACTATATCAAAATTTATGATGGGTAATTACGTAAGTTCTGTGAAAAGCATCAGCTTTGTTGTTTTGCTAATACTTCAAAATGAACCTGTGAATGTCTGTGGGTGAGCACGTCTTCGCCATTCAAAAATCAAAGTGCACTTTATTTTATAATGCCGTCTTATTACTCTTCTTTGTAGGTGCATTTTAAAAATGTTTTCCCGATCAATCCTAGACTCCTGCTCAAAATGATAAATTATTATAACGACAGCTACAAAAAAAACAACAACAACAATAAGCCCGTGAAGCTGTTATCGTTCATTCTGACGGATGACAGTCGTGACAGCTCAGTGGACACTTGGAAAATAAACCGTGGAACTTTGACCAATGAGAGAACAGTTTACTCGCGCGTGACTTGTATTAACAAATTTGGTCCATTTAGAAACTTTGCCGTGTGAAAGCGAACCGCTCCAAGAATAAAAAGCAACATTGTAATAATTTTAATCCCTGTTTCGGAACAAAGCAATCGATCTACAGGTGTGAAAGCACCCTAATTCTAAAATGTGTACATAACATTATTAAACTTTAACGGTATCTGCAATACATTTATGTTGGTTCTGTTCTGTTTACCCTAAGGGGTTATCACTGCTCTCACTGCTCTCATCCATGCTAGGTTGCAGGGAGTTCTTGCCCAGAACAGAACCATACCGCCAATTCAAACTGTATGCTAATTGTCAATCATCTTTGACGATAGTGTTCCTGACAGAAGTCTAGGATCGGCTCTGTTTGTATGTATGTAATTTCACTGTATTTTCACCTCCTAAATTACTACACTACTTGTGCAGTCACGATTTTATAATGGTACAATTTACTCAGGCCAATTACTTTTTTTTTTAGTATGACATTAAAAATCTTTTTAGAATATAGGTTAAGTAAAACAAATGTGATTATTTCTGAGAACTTTTTAACTGCAGGCAGACATTATGGTACAGTAGGCCTACAAATATTTTGTTGGAGATATGCGAGCAAAAAATAATAGATTAAAAAATGTATAATAGAAAGCGCAAAGGCGGCGCTAAAAAGGCCAGTAAAATAATAATAATTTAAAAAAGCAAGCTGTAGAAAAATATAATGAATTACAAGTCTGTGGAGAACAGTGTGCTATTGCAGACTTACAGTATATACTGAAGTTTTAATTACATTATTGTAATAGCTATAGTCAGTCGTGAACTAAAGTGGGTCGCTCTAAGGCATGTAACTCCAGGGCTGAAAATGACTCCCACTCCGGGTATTCGACTCACATCATCTTTCTTTATAATTTTTTTTTCAAGTTTTCTGAATAAAATATGAGTGCAAATTTTTTTTTTAAATTTTGCAGAAAATGTACTTACTACCCTTAGGCCATCTAAGATGTAGATGAGTTTGTTTCTTCATCTGAACAGATTTGGAGAAGTTTAGCATTACATCACTTGCTCACCAGTGGATCCTCTGCAGTGAATGGGTGCCGTCAGAATGAGAGTCCAAACAGCTGATAAAAACATCACGATAATCTACAAGTACTCCACACCACTCCAGAACATCAATTAAAGTCTTGTGAAGTGAAAAGCTCTGGGTTTTGGCACTTCTGGCCAAAATATGAGTCCACAATCCATTATTACACTTCCTCTAGTGAAAAAGACCATCCTCCTGTTGTCATCTCACATCAAAATCCATATTTGTTTTTTGATATATTTGTTACTCACATGTTTGTTTTGAACTGTTTTCACTTGTAAACTGTTCTTGATATGTGCATATTTCTCTCCTGATTCAGATGAGGTGACTTTTTCACTGGAGGAAGTGTTATTATTGATCATGGCCAGAAGTGATGGTTTAAACGCCTTAAAGGTGGATTTGTTTCTTCACAAGATGTTAATTGATGTTCTGGAATGGTGTGGATTACTTGTGGATTTTTGTGATGTTTTTATCAGCTGTTTGGATTCTGAAGGCACCCATTCACTGCAGAGGATCCACTGGTGAGCAAGCGATGTAATACTAAATTTCTCCAAACCTGTTCTGATGAAGAAACAAACTCATCTACATCTTGGATGGCCTGAGAGTGAGCAAATTTTAGCAAAAAAAAAAAAAAAGACGAAGTGTAAAAATGAAATTTTTTAATTCGATAAAATATGTCCATTACGGTACCTGAGGGTGATTTTCTCCACACTGAAGGAGTAGTCATTGATGCCTGTGGTGGGGAATCGGACTCGGAGCACATCCTGGGCTGTGGGGATGAAGTCTGGGGCCGCAATACGTTCCAAATTTGCCATATAGCTAAAAAAAAATATCCAACATAATTCAGTGTAACATTTCAGAACTGTGTGAGCGTGATAAAGTGCCATGATGTTTGCCTTTTGCTTTATTGCTGTTTGTGCTTTAGACGGCATTTTAATTAAATGTCCTGGTTTGTTTGTGTATCTTATCATGGCCAGGTTTGTAGAACTGAAAACACGATCAGGGAAGCAGGAGGAGAGAACGTGAAGGACATGCAGAACTGTGTAAAGGAGTGATTAGGTAACGATTAACAAGAACACGCTGATGTACTTTACAGGAAATGTGCTTAACAATAAGCAGTACTGCCTTAATTCAAGGCTTCAAGTGAGCATTAACCGGATTAAAACAAAAACACACATTCTTGCCTGCCTATTCATCTTATAACAATTGAAAAGTGAAAATGTGTTAATAATATATGACTAAAATAAAAGATACCACGTCAGTTGTCAAAGAAGAGAACAGAAAGAAAACTCATTCATATTTAATGCAACCGAACAGTTTACTGCAGTACTGACTTGTTTGGACTTGTATGCTTGTTTAAAGATAAAGCTGTATTGCCCTCCAATGGTGCTATGTGGATCTGCACAAACCATTTTGGGGTTTTGATCATAAACATTATATACATAAACCTTTGACAAAAAATAACTGCTAAAATTCTTGCTAGCATGAATATATTAGTATTAATATTATATGTTAGCATTGATGTAATAACAGTCATTTTAATATGTTAGAAATATATTTGTTAACATTATTACTGTAGATATATAACTTATTCTAATACTAATCATATAAAATTTTATAAATATCATAATATGATATTACAAATAAATTAGCTAACAAAATGATATAATAGATAACATCTATACATAATATAAATACCTAATTATATTTTAATTATAAAACATAAATAGAAATACTACATTTCATTAAATATATAATTTAATTTATTCAATTTATTCATTCATGTAATATAAGAAATGATTATTCATAATATAGTATATTAATAACAATTAATACAGATCATTTTAGATTTAATGAATTAATATCATAATATAACATTACAAATAAATTAATTTATATATCATCATTAATTTATCATTCTAATTCTAAGAACATACATGCTTCAAATACTACATTCAACAGAAATGTAATAGATAATAAATATTCAAAATCTTGTAGTATTCTGCTGTCTCTCAAATTAATATATCATGGCCACATATATTTATTTATTTATTATGTTTTCATGTAATAAACATGCTAATATACAGTATAATATACAGTAACTGGTCATTATTGTAAAATCAACCCCTTTAGAATGATATAAGGCTTTGTGTCAGGGTTCTGATCACCCCGTCCAAGTTTATTTTTTGATACATATACTCACTATTCTGTGGAGTCCAGCAGCTGGTACTCTCTACGACGACTGTAACAGGCCTTGACACCCTCGTCAGCCCAAAGTCGGCGGATAGCGTCTACATACATTCTGTCCAAATGTGCCATCTGACAGATCTCCACTTCCTGAAACTGTTTCCCATATATCTATGGACATCAATGGCAACAAATTAGGCTTATATATATATATATAAATATTGTGTGGATGCTTTCCATATTTCTGCTCTATTTGAAAGGACGACTGTCACTGCTTTTCATAAAGGTTGATGATTTGTCCTGATTTCTAGTCGTGTCCTCTTTTGGAAGGCCAAACAAAGTAGTTTCGCTTTCACAAAGAAAAAGCGTCACACATACATATGCCTTGAGTGAGCGGAGGCAGGCAGGCTTGAGAACGGCGCGGCCGGCAGATTCGACGAAGGAGCGTCCGGCGGGCTTGCG